TTTTTTTTTTTTTTTTTTTTTTTGGTTACCTGAATGACTGGATGAGTGAGAAACACTAACAGATTTGGGCTCAGAATGAGGTGAGACCACAAGTTTGGTTTTGTCGCTACTATCCTCCTGGCTCTGCCATACTCAGCTGACAAACCCTCCCTATCTGGAACAGGAGGCTCTGAGCTCAGTGATGGCCTCAGCAGGGCTTGGCTTTGGTGGAGCTTTACCTTAGAGGGGGCCCTCTCCTATTATTGTGGAACAGTCAGCCTTCTCAGAAAATCCATATATTTATATGGTGAGCACTTTGTAGTTTTTAAAGTATTTTACATCTGTTGCCTTATTTAATCCTCACAAGAGTACCATGCAGTAGATATAACCACCCCCCTTTTCCAGACTAGGGATGGATCCAAGGCTCAGAGAAGTGAGCTGGTTTGCTCAAGGACACTTCATTAGTAGATAATAGAGTGAGAGCTTAAACTCAGATCCATGGATTCTGAGTCCAGGACTGTTCTTTTCCATGTGCGCTTAGAGACAGTGGGAGAGGCCCCTACATCTTACCTGCTAGCATTATCAGTGATTTTGTTTCAGTGATGAACCATGACAGAACACCCTGCTGCTGCTGTGTGCATGCTTTGCTATTTCAGTAGATGTGGGTTCAGTCAGAATGCCAGGGAAGGTGCTGCCCACACACCTGGGGAAATTGGAGCTTTGAGGGCTCTGAACTAGGAGGGTCTTCAGTTTTCTCAGGCTTCAGCCTCAAGTCTGCTAGGCATATGACCGATAACATAGCAGGAACCAGAGACTATATGGCAAAGCCTCTCGATCGATCTCATGGCAAATCCCCTTTACAAATTTATTCATGTTGATTTCCCCTTGACTTCCTTTCTTCTGTCTGTGGCAGAGGTGGAACTTCAACTCTCTCAGGCCAGTCATTCCACCCGGCCTCTAAATCCTAACCCTTTGGGTCCACCTAAATGACTTTTCCCTCTCTATCAGCTACCCTGGCCTTTCCATCTCCACTCTCTTCCCCACCCACATTTAACCTGCACTGTTTTCTTCCTTCTTTAAAAGAAAGCCATTCTCTCCTTCCTAACCGGGCCAATGCCTTTCACAGCTAAGTTACTTGAAGATGTATTTCTTGTGCTGGTGCCACTCCCCCGCCCCACCCCATGACCTTCCCACCTGCTGAAATGAAGCTTCTGCTCCCTCCTCCACCTGCCCATTCCATTCTAATTGCTGGACTTGCTGAGGTCACCAAGAACCTTACTAAAGACTGACCCTTAATTTAGCAATGGCCACCCTGTTCTTAATACTCCTGGCTACCTTAGCCTCCAAGACTTCTCTCTGCTTTTCGCTTGAGCCCTTCTTCATTGGGACAGATGCTGGAATGCAGAGCCTTAAGGCCCTCTGCCTTCCTGGGTCCTTGATAAAGAAGAAAGAGTCTTTTAACAAGGTCATTTGAGAACTTAATGTCTGGAACCATTTGAAATACAGTCTGAGGTAAATCCATTGAAGAGAGGATTATGGTATAATGAGAAATTTGGTATTATAAAGTCCAATGATGTAAGCAAACACACACACACACACACACACACACACATTGATACAATAGCCCCTTTGTCTATGATGTCAAAGTTCATGGTTTCAGTTACCCAATGTCAAAATATTAATATTTGTCCAGCACTTGGGAGGCTGAAGCAGGAGACCACAATGAATTCAAGGTCAGGCTGTGCTTCACAGTGAGTTCAAGCCAGCCTGAACTACAAAAAAAACAAAAGAGAGAGAGATTTGTGTAACATTTATTACAATATATTGGTATAATTGTTCTACCTAATCGCTAGTTATTGTCATTAATCTCTTACTTGCCAAATTTGCATATTAAACTTTATCAGTGTTGTGTATAGGAAAAAGTATAGAATATATACAGTTCAATACTTTCTGCAGTTTCAGGCATCCATTGAGGGGTCATGGAACATAGCCATTATATGTGTGTCCCTAAATCCTTCCTAAATCCTGCCTTATACTCAGCAGCTGGGAAACCCTTTCTGGAGTCTGGCATCCATTTGAAGCAAGTTTTTCCTGGATATAGATGCTAAACTGGGAAGGAGGGAGGTGGGGAGAGATTGGGGAAGGGAGTGGTATGGAATTTGGTCATACCAGAATCATTACAAAGGGTCATGAATACATGAAAGACCCTGGCATTGATTCCAATATTAAAGGGTTACCTTTCCAACTTCTCCAGAGAAGGTACCAAAATTAAAACAATCTGAATGCCTTTGAGTACTCCAGAAACTCCTAGGCATTTTATATGCATTATCTTGCCTAGACAAGTAACATTTTAGACACAAGCTGACTGAGGGTCAGAGAAGGTAAATTTGTCTCAATTATAGCTGAAAGGAACTCCTTGCCAGCTATATAGGTGCCACCCAACTCCCATTTATCCACAAAAGAAACCCCAAGCCCCAAATTATTAAACATAATTTTTATTTCATCCAGAGCAAGCTAAATACAATCCTACAATGCAAAATATGTTGTAGATAGTTTGAACACATCGATTCTGTGCTTGAACACAGGTCAGTGCTAGGTGAGTGCCTATCTGTACCTCCCAGAGGCACCCACAGACCTGAGGCCTCCCAAGGCCCATCACTGTATCATTTGATCTATAAAGTTATATAGGAAAATTGACTGTGTGTATTGTCATCCAAGCCAGAGGAATAAACCATATATAAGATAGTCAAAAGCACTGCATATCAGGTGAGAGGTGGAAAGGCAGGGACTCCAACCTGGGACAAAATAAGGTGCAGCAAGCTATAGGACTCTCACTAGAAGTCCTTCCTCTTGGCCCTTCCTCCCCTCAGCCCTCCAATGGCAGTTGACTTTAACAGTGAGACAGAGTCACAGAAAGATGGAATCCTGTAGCATTGCTAGTCTTCCCCTGTGTCTCTTGTCCTCCTCAGTCTAGAGCTCAAGCCAGTGAAGATGGTTCCTGAAATGTGCATTCTCCCCCATCATGAATGGTCCTTCCATATACAGCCCTCCCTCCACTCCATATTCACACAGCCGCACCTGGCACACATGTCCATATGCATACACCACATGCACTTCACACAACACACCCTCACCTCCTCACACCCCTGGCTCCACAAGAGTTGGCCAGCAAGATATATGGACACCCCATTAGTTCCTCTCCCAGGCCTCTCTAGCATTAATTACAGATTCATTCTGGCTGCCTTCTGCTCAGTTCCCACACAGGGAGAAAACCCCAGCCTCAAATGCAGTTCTTCTATTTTGAGGTCAAGGATAAGGCGCTTCAAACTTTGTCCTTGGTCTCACTGGTGTCATTGTCAGGGCAGTTGCATGTGCCCAGGACTCCAAAGATCAACTCTGGAAATGCCCCTCTCTAGCGCAACAACTCTGGAAACTGTCTCCCCAGTCAGAGACCACCATTGGAGACTGGCATGCCCTAAGAGCCAGCTTGGGGAAAGTGGCTTTGTCAATTACACAACCTATATTTAGCTCAGTGGTTCTGCCACCTGCCTCCCAAGTGCAAGGTCCCGAGTTCGATCCCCAGTACCAAAAATAAATAAATAAAATTACACAACCTGTTACAAATCCATGCCAACATTTCTTCATGGGCATAATACTGGCATTGGGACAGGACATTCTTTATGGTGGGAACTAAGTTTAGTACTGTTAGTCCCTACCCACTAAATGCTAAAGGCATTGTAACAACCCAAAATACTCCTCTACAGTCCCAATCACCTCTTTTGAAAACCACCAAAGAAGAGCCATGTACAAAAAGTTTTAAGCATGAGTTGGAGTTAAGGTTTTTAACATTGCAAAGACTAAGGAATTCCAAAGGGGAAAAATGGCTGGAGTGTGTGTGTGTGTGTGTGTGTGTTTGTGTGTGTGTGTGTGTGTGTGTGTGTGTTTTGTAGGGATGAGATACAGAGATGAGGATGAGACCATCTTGGAATAATGTGTCCAATTATAAATCCTGCTTTCCAGGTGCTTTTCAAGCCAAAATTAGAAGCAAAACTCGCCAAGCCTCACGACAGTCCAGTGAGGTAGGTTAAGTATTATTACACCCTTTGGATAGACGGCAAAAGCTGAGCACAGAGAAGCTGCATGGCCCGTCTCTACGGTATCAGTAGACTGGGAAAGAGAAGAGGATGGCATCTTCCTCTCTTGTTCCACACGCCTTGGGGACCTCTCAAGAGAGCAAGAGGAGCCCTACAACACTCTGTCTCTTCAACTGCTGACGCTGAGAAGGGAGAAGAAAGTAGTCTTGCACAAATGCAGCTAGAAGTCTTCTGAATGGCTGGGATCTCTCATTTTTCTGCTCTCAAAGCCAGGGAATTCTGAACCCCAGCCCAGGATGGGTTTGGGGTGAAGGACAGGAGGATAGGAGGCAGATCGGAGGGGAGATTTGCGATCCCACCAGCTTGACCAAGGAACATGGCCACAGCCATGAGAACATTCAGGTGCTGCTATTCCTCAGCCTTCTCCAACTTCCATCCCGAGAAGCTTGAAGCTGCATCTGGGCAGGGGGAGCCCTGAAGCAGTCCCCATATACTCTGGGAGAAAAAGGGCTCCTCCTCTCCATCCCTCCTTGGTGCCCAGAGGACAGTGTAGCAAATCCATAAGGGAACAAGGGCATGGGAGCAGATGGTAGAGACTCCGTTGCTACATCTCCCATGTCCATCCCACACAGACCCACACAATCAAACCCATCAGGAGGCCCCACTTCCAACACTCTCATATCTCCCTGTCAGGGTCCCAGATGGAAGCACTGGGCAGGTGTCTCCAGGTCTCAGTCCCTGGCCAAGGGGCCACCAACAAGACAACTTCATGGCCTCCTCCACAACCTTGGGAAGGGTAAGGCTGGGGAACCCCTGCCACATCACATTGTGCAGTTAGGTCAGGGAAGATGGGTTCGAAAGGGTGGGAGAAAATGAGGGCAGGAGGTGGGACTCAAGGAGCTAAGGCACAGTCCAGCCCCACATTCAAGGAGTATGCAAACCAGTTCTTCAGCAAGCAGAAAAAAACGTGGGTCCCTTCTCCCCGCTCCTCCAAAAACCCATCATAACACAAGGGGAGCCTACTGAGTAGGAAGCAGCTAGAAAACCTGAGGGCTCTCTCATCCAAGGAAGAGGGTCCTGAGGCAAAGGCAAACCCAGGGCTGGGGGATGCACAATCCTGGGCACAGGGACAAAAGCATGATAGAGGGGCACCAGAAGAAGAGCAAGCCAATGGGAGGGCATGGGAGGTGGGAGGGAAGAGGGTGCAATCTCTCTAGCAAGATGACACTCCCCGGTGTTTCATGGGAAGAGAAAGAGCAGGGGAGTCAGGCTCAGGAGTGCTAGAATGGCAATGGTCCTGCCATGCCAAGGAGAGGGACTGCCAGGATTGGAGGCCTGGGGTAGGCATCCCAATGGCCAAGAGGCCCAGGACATTGGCTTAACCACCTCTGCAGCCCCATTCCCCAAGACAAAATGCTAAGAAAGGCATAGGTAGCACTCCAGTGCTCCAGAAAGGATTGAGGGGCCCCTCCACGAGCCTCTCAGCAACCTGGAGGACCTTGGCTAGGTGGGCCAAGATCTCTCAAGACCAAGGCAGCAAGGCCTAGCTGGGAAGGATTTAGAAACACAGAGGAGGGGGCAAAAAAGGGAGATGGGACAAGGCAGAGGCACTCCAGCGAGGCAGAAAGGGAAACTTCTCACTTGAGGGCCTGTGGGAGACCAGGTCTCTTAAAAAGCCCAGCTTGCCTCTCCCTGTGTGCCCTCTCCAGCAGTTCCTTCCCCTAAATCTTCTCCTGAGTCCTCTAGTACACTCCCCACCTTCAAAAGAGTTTCCTTCTCCACATAAGGCTCCTCCTTCACCCCATCTCCAGGGTCCAGCATCTCGGGCAAGCCCCACTGACCCCCCAAGTCCCTCCTGCAGAGAAAACAAAAGGAAAACCAAGGAAGAGTTCACTCAGGATGGGGAGCCTGAGAAAACCCCATTTTCCAGGTGTTGGGGGACCAGCCCTCAACAACATCCCTACCCCTCCTTTCCTGTTCTGACTTCCACAGGCCTCATTCCCTTGTCAGCCCTTGTCCCTGGGAAGCCTGGCTGGGGAGGGGGCGGAGCAGGCCAGACAGGACCCCAGTTTCTCCCTGCCAGGAAAGATTACAGTTTGAGCCAAGCAGCAGATGTCTCAGGCACATGGGTTCTATGGACAGGGCTCAAGCATCAGTGTCATGGTCAGAAAGCAAGGCTCCCTGTGCTGCTTGGCCCAAAGCAGGGCCTCACACTTTTGTGGGTGGCTTTTCTTCTGCCTTGGAGCCTGGCAAGCCATTCTCTGTGTTGTCGTTTCCTGAGGAACTCACAAGACACTCCTTCCTGGAGAGGGAGAGAGAAAGACACGGGTGAGGAAAGTAAGGGATGAATTGGGGAGGGAGATGTGGCCCCCTGAGCTCAGCCCTGCACCCACTCCTCAGCCTCCTAAGAGATAAGGTAGCAAAAGACCAAGTCACCTAACATTTCTGTACTTCAGGTTCCTCAAATGCAAAATAGACATCACAATGACACTGTCTTCATGGGGTTGCTATGAGGAGTCAGGGCATTTAGAAAGGTGCTGGCATGGAGAAAAGACTCACTAAGGCCACCTGGTTGTCTAAACACAGCAGAATCTGAGGGGCAGTGGGCACAGTTCCCAGAGGCCAGGTCCGGGCTATGCCACCCTGGGGGAAGGGTGCAAGCCAGCAAGGAGTATGCTGAGGTGACAAAGCTCCTCCCCACCGGGCCTGGTGGACCAGAGGTAGGAGAGCAAGGGTCACAGAGAGAGAGCAGGCAGAAAATGTGGCCTCACAGTGGCACATCTGGGCAGAAGGTGTGTCTGGCCAGGGCAGAGACAGAGAAAGGAGAGTCAGATAGGATGGCACCGCCCAGGGGCTGCATCACCTCGACTGTGCTGGCCGCATGGGCTCCAATTTGAGTCTTCTCGTCTTCCACAGCAGGGCCCAGCCTGGGTCTCTTGCTTTTTGCTGTAATGCAGGCTTTCCACAACACTCAAGGGACATCCTCAGGCTTCCCTGGGGCCTGTCCCCTGCCCCTAACCTCTCCTCACCTGGGCCCTGGGCCCCCATGGCAGTCTTGTTGATCATGCCAGGGACCTACAATTCCTCACCAACTTCCTGCAGCCAGAAGGAAATTCACATGCAGTCTGGGCTCCCAGGTACCCAAGGGTCTGTCCCCAGTCCTTTCTCAGACTTTTTTCTTCCTGTTCCCCACAACCCCCATTGTTACAAAGAGGCTTTGTTCTCCAGACACATGCCCACTGCCCAGACCTTCTACCTAGTTCTCAGCTTCCCCCATCTGGAACACTAGCCCCTCACTCTCCCCAGTGATGAAATTATAACCACCATGAATACCCAGCAGACCTTAATATCACTTCTGTAGCAGCATTTTATTGCACCTTTTTGCAGGAACTGATCCCTTGCACTATGTGGATTAGAGTACACATTGTGTCTCCTTTACTGAAAGGCAGAATCTTATGCCTTTCAGACTGTCCCACAGCACCTAGCACAGTGCTTTGCCACCAAATAAATGAATGAACTCTAGATATGCCCAATGAGTCAATAGGCTATGGTGCCAATGGTTTTAAGGTTGAAGCCAAATCAGTCATAGTTCAAATCTTAGCTAATAGCCTTTAACTACACTGAGTCTCACTTTGCTCCATTGTAAAATAAAAATGGAAATATTGTATAAAAATGCCTGATAGAGTACCTAAAGCATGGTAGGCATTCGGTAAATGACAAGAAGAGTTATTGTTATAGTTTATATCTGGATGTCACCCCAAAGCCTCATGGGGTGGGGCTGGGGAAAATGATTGGATCATGGGTGTGTGATACTCATGGATTAGTTCACTGATGAGTTTGTGCTAACATGGCGTTAGGAGGTAAAGCCTGGTCGGAGGAGGTGGGGCACTGGGGGCGTGGCCTGGAAGGGTCAATCCCCGACCTCCTCCCTTGATCTCTCTTCTTCCCACCACCATGCCATGAGCTGTTTCTCCTCCACCATGTTGCCAGCCTGAAGACTGAAGCCTCTACAAACTGTGCACCAAAATAAAACTTTCCTCCTTCAAACTGTGGGTGTCAGGGTATTGTGTCTCAGCAATGAGAAAGGAGCTAAGACAGTTACTATCTGTAGCAATCTGGTCTACCAGTGTCCTAGCAAGAAAACATTTAGCATGCCTTTTTTTCTTTTTCTGTTTGTTTTGGTTTGCATTTCTGTTTTGTGGTGCTGGGGATGGAACCCAGGTGCGTGCCAGGCAACCACTCTGCTACTGAGCCTGACACCCCCACCCCAGCATGCTCTGTAGCCCCAAAGGATCACCATTGTAAAACCATATGTTGAAAAACTTATCCTCCAGCTTTGCTCACCACTGGCAGTAGGACTGGTTATTAACAGCAAAGCCTGGCCAGCACCTAGCACAGTGCCTTGCACACAGTACCTCAAAAATAGCTACCAAATAAATGAATGAATAGGATATGGTGGAAGTGATTCTAGGGTTGAAGTCAAATCAGTCAGAGTTAAAATCCTAGCTCTATCATGTACCAGCTGTGTGGCAAGCTCTGTCCCTCTGAAGATTGCCAAAATGCTCAGAGCCTCTGGCCACAGGGCAGACAGACCACGCCCTCTGGAATTCCTTATCTCTACCAAGGGCCTGGAGCCGCTCCCTTAGTGTCCCCTCCTTGTCTTCTGCTTCCTTCCCTTCTCATGGGGAAATTTCTGCCCTTTCCATCTAGACTCTCCACACAGCAGAGGTGGCAAGCAGGGGCAGAGCAGTTCGCTCCACATCTCCGAGTTGCCATCACCCCTCTGCTCCAATGACAGGCACCTCATCTCCTGCCTGCTCCTGGCTGTGTAAGATTCACCGCCTGCTGCTTTGAAGCCTGCCCAGCACTATTCTATAAACTCTGGGCCTGAGGTTTGCACTCTCTGTCCGTGCCCATCCTTCCTCTCCTCCCCCTTATAGATGTTTACTTTTTATGATGCTGGGGATGGAACAGGTCCTTGAGCTTACTAGACAAGTCCTTTACTACTGAGCCATTTTTATAGCAGAACTTAGCCTAGGGCTTCTTGGAAGGCCCTATGAGCCTTTTTTTTTTTAACTTTATTTTTATCTCCCTATTTGAATTTTCAGAATTTCACAGTAAGAGATCTCTATCTCCCTAGAAAGGTCTTCCCATTTTAGAGTTTCTGTACATGGACTTTCTGTACATGGACTTTCTCTGATTTAAAAATTAAAAAAGCTTCTTGAGTCCTTTAGTAGGTCCTCAGGGCTGGTGGTACAAATGGAAAGAGAAAGGCTGATGGGCTGGGATGGAAGAAAAAGTGAACTGTACTCACGTTCCTAATGAAGTCAGTGTATTCAACAGCTACACATTGGGAAGAGAAGAGAGGAAGGGAGATTAGGAGAGGGGCTGAGAGACGGAGACACAGTCATGGGGGAACATAGACAGGAGTGGGATTCAGAAGACAGGGAGGACAGAGGGGTGACTACAGGCAGACTGTGGGAGGAGGGGACCACAAGCTGAGGAGTGGTGGGCTGGGGAGGCACAAGTAGTGCAGCTAGAAACAAAGGAGTTGATGGGCCTGGGATTTAGCTCAGTGGTTTCGCCGCCTGCTGCACAAGCGCAAGGATGGGAGTTCGATCCCCGGTACCAAAAAAAAAAAGAAAGAAAGAAAGAAAAAGAAACAAAGGAGCTGAGCGTCACTTCCTTCCTTCCATCTAACTCTAAACAGCACCCAATGCTTATTCCTGCTTCCATAATCCTAAGACAGGTAGAAAACAAAATAACAAAAGCCATAACAAAATAACATTGCCATGCCCAAGGTGAGAGTACAGGCACTTTAAAGCACTGGCACCAAGGGAGATTCAGTGGGAGACACCTGAAGCCAAGGTGTCTGGCGACCTCTCAGTTCTGAAAGGCTGAGTATCGATCCTCTCTTCCCTCTTTTTCCTATGCTGCTGCTACCTTTGACCAGTGTGTAGTACTTTTCTGTTGCCCCAGCACCTTTGTTGACATGGTCTGGCCCTGAGCACAACTTTCCATGATCTTCAATAAACGTAACTACTTACGACTTACTACTGGGTGTACACTTGGTAATTCTTTCCTTGTACACAAGAACCTGTATTACTGGCCCGTTCAACTGTAACACAGGAATGTGCATGGGAGGTCAACTCACTTCTTCTCTCGGGTCTTCTTGAGGATGAAGGCAATGAACTTCTTCAGCACTAGGATGAAGACCAGGAGCCCGATGACCCCGCCCACCACACTCAGGATGATGAGCGTCACCGTATTGTCCACTTTTTCCACTGTGTAGCCAGAGTAGGGAGGAGAGGGTAGGAAGAGGAGAACAGGGGTCACCTGGAGCCATCACCAGGGCAACACAAGGGCTGTCAGGCATGGAAGCAGGAACATGGCAGCCACCCTCCCAGCGCATAGCCTCCCACACTCACACACAAGATCAGGGATAAATCAGAATTGGAGTTCACAACAGCCAGGTTTGGGTCACAACTTAACCCAGCAATTTGGCTGTGTGAAAACTGCATTGCCTCTCTCTGTGCAAAAGACTTCTTCAGAGGGCTGGGGATTTAGCTCAGTGGTTCTGCCACCTGCCTTTCAAGGACAAGGTCCTGAGTTCAATCCCCAGTACCAAAAAAAAAAAAAAAAAGACATCTGAAGAGAAGAGAAGAAGGAGAGAAAAAAGAAAAAGAAAAAGAAAAGACATCCTCATAGCTTCCTGTCTTACTTCCTTCAAATGTTGCTTTTTTCAGCAAGGCCTTCCCTGGCTACCCTACAAACACCTATCTTCCTTTGCTGTTTTTTGTTGTTTTGTTTTGGTTTGGTTTTTTGGTACCAGGGATCAAACTCAGGACCTTCTGCTTTCGAGGCAGGCAGCGGAAACCACTGAGCTAAATCCCCAGCCCTTGTTTGCTTCTTTTTTTCCCCACAACATTACCCATGTTCTTCATACAATATAATCTCTTTATTTTGGTTTGGGTTTTAGGTTCGGGGTTTTTGAGACAGGGTCTCACTATGAAGCCCAGGCTGGCCTCAAACTCAATCCTCCTGCCTCAGCCTCCCAAGTGCTGATATTACAGGCATCTTTTTTTAATGATATCACTCACTGACTAGAAGAGGACAGCAATCTCCTCCAGCAGGAATGTGCCTGTCTGGTTCACACTGCAGCCCTCACACCTAGAACAGCATCCACCACTTGCAGGTACTCAGTAAGTACTTGTTGATTACATGGACAAAGGAGTCTAAAAATGGAGAGAAGAGCTTGAAGGGACTTTTTGGGGAGCAGAGGAATTAAGGTGAGTGAGAGCATCTAACTCAGTGCCTGGCACCCAAAACACTCCACCAATATTGTCCCTTCCCTCCTCTTCCCCCTAAAAGGCTAAGCACAAAAGAGAATGACAGAAACTCAGACAGACAGGAAGAGGTGATACCATACTCAGATCTGACTTAGGCGACTTCAGGCCTAGAAAAAGCTGACTTTGGCACAACCAAAATTGAACTCCCAGTGTCCCCCTCTCCAGGCACTCTGTATCATCCACACAAAAGGCAGCAGAATCCAGATCCTTGAGCAGTTCCCCATCCCTTTTCCTTGGTTCCTGTGCTGCCCCAGCCTTCCAGGATCCCTGCCCACCACAAAGCCCAGCCTAACTTTTCCTACTCTGTTTATCACCCTCTGCTTCTCTAACCATCTCCAATAGTGGGGTCATGTGACCACCTGGCTCCTTATCAGAAACCCTGATGGTCTAACTGGCCCACCTCTGTCAGACTTCCATCCCCCAAGTAGGAGATAAGCTCCCGGAAGGGAGGGAGCCTGTCTCATTCCATCTACCCTGCAGGTTTCTCTACTGACATATGCATATTTCAGCTATCTGTGTGTGTCTTCTGTCCTACCCTAAACTAAACACTCCTCAAGATAGAACACTGGATCATAGCATTTTTTGGTATGACACTTAATATTCAGGCATAAAACACAAACTGCAGCAATGATCAATGTATACAGAGAGAGTTTGGTTGGCTACTACCTGCTCCCAGGTAGCTCCTCTAACCCTTAGGACAACCCCAGCAGAATGCAGCCACAGTCCCATCTTACAGGCCTGGAAAACAAGGCTCAGAAAGGCTGTGTATTTCACAGGCTATTCAATAGCAGGAGTGTTCAACTGAATTCTTCTAGCTCCCAGATATAATTCCAGTAATTCTTGAAAGTGTAAAGCAAAAGAAAGCACCAGTATAGCAGTGCTTCCAGGTACTTCCCACTCTACTGCCCATTCCTGGTCCCCATGCATACATTTATCAACTACTTGGAGGATGATGGTGGCCTGATGCTCGAGGTCCTTCTCCTTGGGGTTCCTCACTCGGCAGGTGTATTTGCCCGAGTCACTGAACTCCAGGTCCCTCAGCAGAATGGATATGTTGTTCCGCTTCTCCTTAGTGGTGCCCACCAGAGTGATTCGGTCATCATCTTTTAACTTCAACTTGGGATCAGACTTCTCATTCTTCACAATCCCTTCTATAAGCTAGGAGGTAGGCAGGAGAGAATGAGAGTAGTCATGGGTTATGACATCTCTTCAGCCCCACCATGGGTGCCTGTCCTGTCTGGGTCCAGGAAGTACCTGCAGTGTGAGAGACCTAATCCCCACTGGTCTCCTCTGCCAATGTCTACAGCTCCACCTGTCTAACCTGAATTTTGCCCAGTTCCTTTTAGTAAAGTCCCCTGGAATGCAGCATGCTTCTTAGTGCTCTCTTCATAAAAGCCTTTTACATAATGACCTGCAAATACATGGGCTTCCCTCTACTTTCCACCCAGCATTTCTGAATCCATGTCCCCTCTCTGACTTAATTCTAGCCCCCAACCTAGAACTGGATCAGTGCTACAGCTCTGTCCATCAGCATCCTAAGGGGTCTGTATTTAACTCCATCCCAGCACAGCTTGGGCTCTATGGCTTCTCTGTGTTACCTGAGAGCAGACCCCTGCTGGATTGCAGAGAACTCAGTACACACCTGTTGGCAGACTCACCCCCACCCCACCCTAACCCACTGCTGCTCTTGCAGCCACCCTGCTCCTCTCCTATTGCCTGTCTCCTTCCTTCCAAGTCCAACCTCCTTTCCCTTCCCTCATTCAGTCTTCTCATTCTGTCTCCAACCCTCCCAGTGATCTTTCTCTCTCTCGTCTGTTCCATTAAACTATGAATTTTCACACAATCGATCCTAGTTCCAGGTATTTCCTAAGACCAGACAGAGGACACTAGCCAAGAATTCCAACAGGCCCCAAGTTCTGTCAACACTACCTAAGCATCCCTCCTACTCAAAGCCTGTCTGGAAGGAATACTTGGAGATAGGGTATCAAAAGGTGGGTTCTGGGGGCCATCACAAAGGGGCTCTGCCAGAAGGGACCAGAACTTGGAATGGGAGCCATGCATGGGAAAGGGGCTGAAAAGGGAGAGAGGATCTGGGCTGCCCTGTCCCTCTCGCCACAACTTACAGTTTTGAAAGTATCACTGCTATTGTAGGACCACCAGAAGCGGAGGTCCTCGAAGCCAAAGCAGCTGGAGAAGGTGCAGGGCAGTAGGATCTCCGTACCGTTGACAGCGTAGATGGTGGTGGCCTTCCCCACAGACACCTCCAGCGACAAGGACATGGGAAGCAGGAAGAGACCTGTGTAAGGGGCACGGCCTCCCTTAATAAAACTCCAAGGGAATCTCCAGGCTGCGGAGTCGCTTGACCAGGCAGGGAGGACTCTGTCACTCTCAGTGTCAACTTCAGGAGGATGGTGTCACTTGACACCACCTGGGCCACCCCCTATAATTCTCCACCTCTCCCCATCCGTGGGATTCAATTCCGGCTCTTCAGTTGTCCTTGTGGCACTCCGGATGACCACCAGGGGTCACCCCAACCCAAAAAAAGAAGGATCTGGGCGTTTTGTGGAGAATCCGAGCCCCCGCCCCGTCCCTCACCTGGAACCGGTCCTTGAGTGCACCCAAGTAGAGCGGAGTGGACGCCCTTAAGTGTGCGTGGAAATTTCCCCTAGAACTGGGCCGCTTCCTCCCCCTCCTCCCCCCCTCCTCCTCCCCTTCCTCCCCTTCCTCCCCTTCCTCCCCTTCCTCCCCTTCCTCCCCTTCCTCCCCCGCCCTCCTCCGGTTTGCCGCATTCAAGGGTGGGGCATGGGAGCGAGTGGGTCCCGAGGGCGAAGCCCCGGAGGCTCAGGGACTCCTCCGAGGTGGACCTTACTTGGCTATCTGAGTCCAGCACCTTCTGGCTACCCAAGGAGATCCTGACAACAAGAAGACAGACCGGGCCGGGATGGAATAAGGGGTAAGGCTTGAGAACAGCTTGGAACCGGCAGCCCAGAGGGCCAGGCAAGCACCGCAATGGAGAGAAAAAGGAAGAGGGCAGAGACACGCTGCGGAAGCAGATTCGGGATGAACTGGAAGACACGCATATAGAACCACCGTCCTCTCCTGATCCCGAGGAGCCCGGCCTCTCCAGGACTCCCGGCGGCCACGCTCCGCCGGCTTAGCCCCCGGAACCGCACCGGTTCCCCCTCGGCTCCCGGCGCCCGCTCCGTAAAGCACCCGTGCGCGTCGCCGAGGCGGGCGGGGGCTCTCGGCCCCTCCTCCTGAGCTCTCTAGGGGGACCTGGCCTTCCAGGCCCACACTCTCCTCAAGGTCGGGGGGGGGGGGGGGTGTCCCTAATTGGCGCTTAGCTCTCCTCGCCCAGAGGGGAAAAGAGCACCTTCTCCCAGCCTCTCCGGTGTCTAACTTAACTCCCTAGTGCGGCAGCACAAATCAGTTTCCTCTTGTCTTACCCACAAAAGAGGCTGATGCTTGGTGCTTCTGAGCAATGCTTTCTGAATGACAGAGAAGGAGCTCCAGGAAGAGCTGGCGGCCCTACTCCTGCTAGCAGAGGTCCCCTCGCCTTTTTGGAGTCTGGTTTTGGAGGTAGAGTGCTCGAAGCCCACCCACCAGCACAGAAATCAACCCCATGGCCCAGTAATCCACTCATGACCCCTGCCACCGTCCATAATAGCAGTACTAGCTGATTTATTGAGCATTTACCATGGGCCTGCCACATTCTATCCTCACACCCCTCTTAGGAGTGCTGTGCTATTATAGATCCATATTAGAGGTGAAGTTAGGCAACTTTCCTAAAATCAACGAGAGAGATGCTTCCAAACAACAAGACAATACCTCCTTATATCCTGAAATAGCCAGCTTTTTCCCCCAGGGCTCCTATTAGTGCTGCAAAGTTAATTCGTTGAGCCCACATTTAGCCAGGCATGGTGGCATGTGCCATACCTGTAGTCTCAGTTGCTCAGGAAGCTACAATGGGAGGATCACTTGAGTCCAAGAGTTTGAGTCCAGCTTGGGTACCAGAGCAAGACCCCAGTGTCCAAAAAAGAAAGTGTCACATTTAGCCCTCACTCTTTGGTCAGCTTCTGGATGCCAGGAACTGCTGCAGAACTGTGTGGTTTTCAAACATGAAAGGGCATCAAAATGGCCTGGGTGACAGGTGCAGGTAGCTGGGCCCAGCCCCTGGAGCTGCTGATTTAGGAAGTCTTCCTTGATGCTAGACAGGTGGCATCTCAGAACAAACTGGGCAGGGACCACATCTTGAGAACCACTGGGCTAAAGGACTTAAACATATTAATTCTAACTAGAATGCCAAAAGGTAGGTATAATTTTTTTTCTCATTTTATAGATGATAAAAATGTAGCTCAGGGCCAGGGATTTAGCTCAGTGGTTCCAGCACCTGCCTCTCAAGCACAAGGTCCTGAGTTTGTTCCCTGGTACCAAAAAAAAAAAAATTGTGCCTCAGAGAAGTTAAGTGACTTGCCAGGGGCCAATCTGGAACTGAGCACTTACTACATATAGGACAGGCGTTTTTTTATATGTCTCATTTAGTGCTTTTAATAATCCTATAAAATAGTTATTATTTTTATTCCCAATATACAAGTGAAAAATGGGCTCAAAGAGATGTACTTACTAAAGTTGCATACCTAAGAAGTAGGTAAATATCACTCAGAAGATCTAGCTTTTCACCTCTCCGAAAGAACAATTCTGTCAGGACTTAGTGCTCCTTGGAGCTCCCAGTGTTCCTTTTGCTTCTGCCCCCCTTAGCCCTTACTTCTCCCAGAGGCCTAGGGTCAGGACCCAGACACGAGATTCCAGTCTCCACCCTGGGGCTAGCACTGGAAGATGCCCTTCTGATGAGAGACCCCAGCTCCTTCCTCCCAGAGCCCCCGAAAAACGCAGATCGGAAAACCTCAGATCCAGGTTCGAAGAGGTGGACAGGGAAGCACTCAGGAAAAGGGACTCACTCCCTCAGGGCTCCAGGGAATACAGCAGCTGCCACTCCAATACTCATTTTCACCCTGGCCCAGGAACTAGAGTCCTGCAGAAGATTTCAGGGGCCAAGTTTTCCCTGCTGAACCCCAGCCACATAAGCTATTCAAGAGAATAAAAGATGCACATCAAAAAGGAAAGGCTTTGATTGCTTTAAATGGGGGGGGGGGTCCTGAATAGAAGTTAATGCTATTTTTTTAAGGTCTAGCTCACAACACTGTGCATTTCTGCCTAATGTGGATGATTTACCTCTAATACACTCAAGACTCTGAGCAAAACATTGTCATTCCCTCTATAGCCTGGAGGAGATAAATCTGGCAGAAATGATTTCCTCAGAGTGCAGAGCCCTGCCCAGATTAAGGCATCAGAGAAGGTGGACAAGCCTGGCTTCTACACCACACAGCCCTCCCAGCTGCGTGTCAGGAAGTCCAGGAAAGCTGTACTGCAGGGACAGGCAGGAGCAAGAGCAGGTGATTTCCCCCAGACACCCCTGAAGGCTGCTTAGCAGGATGCACAGCAGGATGGCCAGATCAAGAGAGGACTGGTCTGCAGCACTAGGCAGGCCCCACTCTGCCTTCTGACCTTGAGAAAGCCAGAGGTGCTATATCCTGTGTACAGCCCCTAAACCAGCACAGGGATGGCTATAAACTTTCCTACCTCCTGAGCTGTCAGGAAGCCAAAGCATGAGACTGTGAAACACAAGTACATTGGTGAGTAGGCACCTGCCAGTAGAGGAGAATGGTGTTTGAAAAGGGGAACAGGGCTATGCCCATCCCAGACTTAGATATAACCAGGGCACCCCTTGATTCCCTCAATGACCAGTGTCGGCCAAGAATGTCTCCTGGTTGCTCACACATTGATTTATACTTTCACCCTGTACCACCTCTTGGATTATTTCCATACGACTGTTTCCCTGAAGTAAAGGACTTGCTTTGCTTGGTCCTAAACTTAACCCTTTAGAATGTTGCAGGGTGTGTGTGTGTGTGTTTGGGAGTAAAGCCAACCCTCTTTTGGCACCTTGGGAGTAATGAACAAGTCGTTGTCCACCACCACCACCCCCCATCATGGACCTATGGAATTGGATTCTCAGCCCCCACAGCCTTCCTTTGCTTCACTGCTTAGTGACTTCAGCAGCCATTTCCTTGTCATCTTCTGAAGTCTCAGCCCCCTGCCACCCTCATCTGGATTCTGAGGGTTGTCCAAGTATAGACTCAGAATTCTCATATTTTGTCAAAGTAAAAAAGTATTCACCGGGCCTGGTGGTACACACCAGTAATCTCTGTGCTCTGGGAGGCTGAGGCTGGAGGATCACAAGTTGGAGCCCATCCTGGGTGATTTAGTGAGACTCTGTCTAAAAAATTTTTAAAAGCTGGGGATGCAGCTCAGTGAAAAGGCCCCCAGTACAGAACAAAACAACCACAACAAAACCAGCACTTGCAAATGTTATTAAATATTCACACTAGCAGGGATTTAACTGCAGCCTTCACACAGTCCAAGGCCAGCACCGGGTGGGCAATAGCCTTGCTCCACCCTTTCCCACATTCAGGGATCAGTTGCACCCACCCCGAGGCAGGAGGGAGAAAGAGGACAGGATGTCACCCACTCTAAGTTTAGCTCTGAGGGCATAGACCACATGGCAATGTGGCAAGCGGAAATTCGGCTGAGACACTTTGGCCTCAGGGGAATTAGAAAGCTCAGAGTTAGAGCTGGAAGACAGAAAGTGGGCCGAGGGCAGCAGGACAGGCCCCCTCCTGGGGTGGAGGCCCCGGGGGCTATGGGAGGCAGGGCTGGGCCCAGAGACAAAGGAAAGATTTCAGCTCCCTCTCCCTAGGCAACCTGCCTGTTTCCAGCCCACCCCCAGGAGCTTTGCAGGGATAGAAGCATGCCCTTGAGACAATGCTCAGGGACACTAGCTTTGCAAACAAGTCCAAACAGTGTGCGTGTCCCTCCTCTTACTGACCACTGAGCCCAAAGTTTGTGTTAGGCCACCCCATCCATGGCTTATGTGGCCATCCCCACATCCCCTAAAGGACAACCCCTGGGGGGATAGGGTCATGAGACTGCAGGCTACCTAACCAGGAGCTAGCCAAGCAGTCAAAAAGGCTAAGGGACTCAGCCTTCTTCTCTCTGTCCCCACAGTCCTGTACCTCCAGCACCTCAGAAAGAGAACCATTCTTTCCAGATCCAAACCCGAGACCTCCCTCCACATCTTTCCTCTCCACTTTTCCAGGAACTCCGAGCTTATCTCTGCCATATTTTTTTTTTCCTGAGTGGGACTGAACACCCTTTCCTTAATTGTATTCTCATTAAACAAGTTCTTAATAAATACACACCAAGGGAAAGAGGGGTGTGCAACACAGCATCCTCACAAGTGATAATTAAATGCAGATCACAGCAATTAAGCAAATCAGAGAACAAGGAAGGGGTGGGCACAACAGATATATTACCAGTTACATACTTAGGAAGAGACTGGAGCCCCATGAACTTCAGTTGCAATGATACAGCCTTTGGAATTGCTTCTCAGTTTAAGAAAATGGCATCTTGTCAAGTTGTCAAAAATCACTGTAGGGCCGGGGATTTAGCCCAGTGGTTCTATCGCCTGCCTCACAAGCGCAAGGACCCGAGTTCGATCTCTGGTACCAAAAAAAAAAATCAAAAAAAATCACTGTAGTCTGTGAGACTGGGTTTGATATGGCAAGAGGGGAAGAAGACTTCTGGGAATGTGCTGCTCCTGAAACAGTCTCCCTAGCTGTGAAAACAGCAGCACTGAGCCCCTCCCCAAAAACTGTATCCTTCCTTCCCAAGCCCCACAGCCTCATCCTCCAGCCCTAAGCATAATTCCTACTGACCTTCCCCTCACCAGACTTCTGGAAACTAGGAGGCAGCTCAGTGAGACAAGGGCTAAGAAGCCTGGATTCCATTCTATTTGACCATCAATTAGCCATGGAACCATGGGCAAACCACTGCCCCTGTCTGGGCCATGGCTTCCCCACTCTTCAGAGAGTTCTCTGCCGGTGCTGAGGTTCCCAGGGAACAGCTCCAGCTGGGTATCTGGTCTTTTCTGCATTTCCCCCACTGGACCAAGCTAAGAGCATTGCCTCTGTGAGGGCTCAATCAGTGGCTCTCTGGGCAAAGCCCTAAGGGAAGTCATGATGTTGTCCCTCTCCAGAGTAGAGGGTCAGGGGCCAGCAG